TGTGGACACCAAGGGCTGTAGTTGTGAAATGTGGACACCAAGGGCTGTAGCTGTGAAATGTGGACACCAAGGGCTGTAGTTGTGAAATGCGGACACCAAGGGCTGTAGTTGTGAAATGTGGACACCAAGGGCTGTAGTTGTGAAATGTGGACACCAAGGGCTGTAGTTGAGAAATGTGGACACCAAGGGCTGTAGTTGTGAAATGTGGACACCAAGGGCTGTAGTTCTGAAATGTGGACACCAAGGGCTGTAGCCGCGAAATGTGGACACCAAGTGGTCTAGCCGCGAAATGTGGACACCAAGGGCTGTAGTTGTGAAATGTGGACACCAAGGGCTGTAGCTGTGAAATGTGGACACCAAGGGCTGTAGTTGTAAAATGCGGACACCAAGGGCTGTAGTTGTGAAATGTGGACACCAAGGGCTGTAGTTGTGAAATGTGGACACCAAGGGCTGTAGTTGAGAAATTTGGACACCAAGGGCTGTAGCCGCGAAATGTGGACACCAAGTGCTCTAGCCGCGAAATGTGGACACCAAGGGCTGTAGCTGTGAAATGTGGACACCAAGGGCTGTAGTTGTGAAACGCGGACACCAAGGGCTGTAGTTGAGAAATGTGGACACCAAGGGCTGTAGTTGTGAAATGTGGACACCAAGGGCTGTAGTTGTGAAATGTGGACACCTAGGGCTGTAGTTGTGAAATGTGGACACCAAGGGCTGTATCCGCGAAATGTGGACAACAAGGGCTGTAGCCGCGAAATGTGGACACCAAGGGCTGTAGTTGTGAAATGTGGATACCAAGGGCTGTAGCTGTGAAATGTGGACACCAAGGGCTGTAGTTGTGAAATGTGGACACCAAGGGCTGTAGTTGTGAAATGTGGACACCAAGGGCTGTAGCTGTGAAATGTGGACACCAAGGGCTGTAGTTGTGAAATGTGGACACCAATAGCACTAGCTGTGAAACGTGGACACCAAGGGCTGTAGTTGTGAAATGTGGACACCAAGGGCTGTAGTTGTGAAATGTGGACACCAAGGGCTGTAGTTGTGAAATGCGGACACCAAGGGATGTAGCCGCGAAATGTGGACACCAAGGGCTGTAGTTGTAAAATGTGGACACCAAGGGCTGTAGTTGTGAAATGTGGACAACAAGGGCTGTAGTTGAGAAATGTGGACACCAAGGGCTGTAGTTGTGAAATGTGGACACCAAGGGCGGTAGTTTCGAAATGTGGACACCTAGGGCTGTAGTTGTGAAATGTGGACACCAAGGGCTGTAGCCGCGAAATGTGGACAACAAGGGCTGTAGCCGCGAAATGTGGACACCAAGAGCTGTAGCTGTGAAACGTGGACACCAAGGGCTGTAACTGTGAAATGTGGACACCAAGGGCTGTAGTTGTGAAATGTGGACACCAAGGGCTGTAGTTGTGAAATGCGGACACCAAGGGATGTAGCCGCGAAATGTGGACACCAAGGGCTGTAGTTGTAAAAGGTGGACACCAAGGGCTGTAGTTGTGAAATGTGGACACCAAGGGCTGTAGTTGTAAAAGGTGGACACCAAGGGCTGTAGTTGTGAAATGTGGACACCAAGGGCTGTAGTTGTGAAATGGGGACACCAATGGCTGAAGCCGCGAAATGTGGACACCAAGGGCTGTAGCCGCGAAATATGGACACCAAAGGCTTTAGCCGCGAAATGTGGACACCAAGGGCTGTAGTTGTGAAATATTGCTCAGCAAAAAGGGAAAGTTAACTATTGGAAAGATGAAGTGATCCCGTTTTGTCACACAATCATGTGGAGAGTATTTTGTCACTCCGAATTTTTATGCATAGATCTAGATATGAAACAGATGAGGCAGTCTCACTGGTCTCCTATTTTCTTAGTTTAGTTGTGTAAATCAGAAGAAGTGAATTGGCTACTAGACGGTTATTGAACGATATCAGGTCATCAATATACCTGAAGCTTGATTTTAACTTCTCGGCCAAATAACCTTGTCGTCACTTTGCCAAATTCCGATTCATATACATAAGAATCAGATCAACAAGAAGGGGAGCACAATTGGTGCTCATAGCGATGTGTACTTCTTGCCTAAATGCCGATGGCGTGTGCTGTCATTTTTGACAAATTGCCTTGAACCCCTGAAGATAAATATGTGACTATATGTGGTCACAACGTCTTGCAATAAAAGCCCCATGGGTCAAGGGATGAAGTCTTTTTTTAAATGTGTGATGTGGGACAGTGATGTACAAAGTTCAAACATCAAATGTTTTTACAGAATTGAACTTAAGCAAATCCTTTGAGTTTTGAGAATCCACATAGTATTAATTCCACTTTCTGTGAATATACCGAAAATCGTATCATGATTGTATTGAGGTAAATCTTTGTGACAGGCATTTGATGGTACAATTGCTATACCCAGCAATATATATCTCTCTGTACGGTTTTTGGAATCCAGTACAAAAGGGGAATGGTCGTGTCTTCAGGTTTTAGTGTCAAGCAGAAAGTTGATAGTACTGATGCATGGTTTTGGCAGATTTCTTTCTCAGTAAATATGGTTGCCTTATGTGTGGCATTATTTCATATGTCACTTATGACAAGTTCCTTGATCAAATGATTAATGAAGTGATGCTTTTATACAATGGTTGTAGATGAAATGGTGTTCGTGTAGGAAAAAAATGTTTGGTGAAATTTCAATAATAAGTTATCCTATGCTGTGTCTTTTTGGACGCATTGACCTTCAAGGTCATGACGTTGTAATATTTCAGGAATATGAATAAATCTTTTTCCAGAAATAATCCTAGATTTAGTATCATAGGCCTCGCAGAAGAGCATGCCTGTGGGTTTCACCTAAGTGGTAAACGTCTGAGGCCTGCATCATTTTGGGCTTTCCTCCCATATTAAGCTGGCACGCCGTGATATGACTGGAATACTGTTCGAAGTAGCGTTAAACCCTAACTCACTCACTCACTCACTCACTCACTCACTCACTCTGGTGTCCCCTGCCGAGATGTAGCTGGAATATACTGCTGAAAGCAGCTTAAAACCAGGCCAACTACCACATTAATGTCTCTAAATGACCGTATAAATAACTCACTAAATGGATGCGACGTTACCACTGCGACGTTAAATTGTAATTCAGCCACAATACATCTGGACAACAATGCCTCTAAAGAAGCTGTTATATTGTTGAGAGGCTTGCTAAGTAACATTAACTTTCTAAACTAAGTTGTAGGGTTTCAACAAGTATCAATAAAAAAAGAAGTATACTGATTCAAATTAAAAACTTCACATTTTTAAAAGTAATCACATATATGATATACAACGGACAAATGTATCAGAGAAGGTAATTTTTAATCATTAATGTCCAAAGAAGGATTTTAATTAACGGTGTAACCATAATTTGTTACAAGCACCTACGGTATTCGGTAATAACATCAACATTTTAAATCATAAGTCCCAAGCACGAGAATATGATGGCACACAAGCTCAGTAGCGTGTATGGCCAGCATGTGCGTTGACAACTGCCACACAACGCCTCCGCATTGACCTTGTGATGCTTGTGAACACATGATTGGGAAGACGACGCCATTGTTGCTGCAAAAGGGTGCCAAGATCTTGCAAATTCTGTGGTTGGTTCTGGAGAGTGCGCAGACTTCTGCCAAGAGCATCCCAGACGTGTTCGATGGGATTTAGGTCGGGAGACCTTGACGGCCAGTCCATGACGTTGTCTCCCGCCTTCTGAAGGAAATTCCTTGTCAAAATTGCTGTGTGGGGTCTGGCATTGTCGTGTTGGAAGATCAAACCGGGTCCATGTGCTGCCATAAAAGGCAAAAGTTCTGGTGCCAGTACCTGGTCGCGGTAAGCAGCAGCGTTGAGGTTGCCACGGATTACAAGAAGCCTGGAACGTGCATTGCCACAGAAAGCACCCCACACCATGACACTTCCGCCTCGAAATCTGAACTTCCTGTACACAACACTGGGCGTAACGTTCATGACGGCGCCTCCACACCCTCGCCCTACCATCAGCAAATCGAAGATTAAATCGGGATTCATCACTGAAGACGACTTGATTCCGATTCCTCTGAGCCCATCGTAAGTGTCGCTGTGCCCACAATTGACGTTGACGTCTGTGTAATTGAGTCAGAATCGGCCCGCAGTATGGTCGTCGTGCTTGCAGGTGAGCAGTTCTCAGACGTCTTCGAACAGTTTGGGCACTCAGTCTACCCCTAAACAGTTCATTTCTGGTTGATGTAGCCGTCAAAAATCGGTTACTGAGGTGACGTAAGACAATCTGACGATCCTCTGCATATGACGTCACACGTGGTCGACCTGGCCGAGGTCGATTAGCGGTGGTACCCGTTTGCTGTAGACGCGTCTGTAAATCATAAACAGTCCGTCGACTACAACCCGTCGTCCTTGCGACTTCAGCTACGGACGTTCCCGTCTGCAACATGCCGATGGCATGTTCACGTTGCACATTTGAAAGGCGTGGCATGACAAATGGCCGTAAAGACTTTTGTTTTCTTGTGTTTTTCTTTCTGTGCTAATGACTGCTAACAAGTATGGCTGAAAACACGTGCGGTATTATGGCCACGTGACCAGTTGCACGTGAAAAAATCACTTTTGCCACTATAGTGCTGTGCACATGATTTTGATCGATTCACCTGCACAAAAACGGGTGTTATCTAAAGACAATACGTGGCCATTACTGTTTAAATACACAATAAGGGCCCACAATGATAACTGGTCAAAATGTTAAAATCTTTGGATTGTGAAGTTTTTAATTTGGTTCAGTATATATGGTGTCTCATAAGACACACATGCCACATCATCATTAAGAGGTGCTCAAGACAGGTGCGATCCTAGTTACTCGTGTGCCATGCTAGTTTGCCTTATACCACCTGGTGTGAACCATGGGGGGTGAGTGAGTCCACAGAACAATGACATTTCAGCGATCACGTGATTACCTGTTTGTAATAAGACCTGAGTCTGGCATGTTACAATCATCACTCACCCGATTCAAGAGATGTTGATGGTTGACGAATGGGTTTGAAATACCTTGATCCTGGTTGACTGAATCCTGCACTGGTCTGATTTAGAGAAGATTGCTGACCACTACAGACTTGGCGATCTTCGTTATAAAAGAAGGAATCACATTCCGACTGCGCAAGGCATGATCTAGCGCAGGAAATGGCGTTTTTAATGTCCGATATTTGAAAAACAACATTTTCTGAAACAAGAATGTTGTCAAACATCATGTCTTGTCTAAACAGCATCTGGCGAAAGGTTTTCCCTGGCACCCTGTCAGGAAATGCCATGAAGAAGATGCCCACGTGAAGGAGAACTGGCAACATCATTCTTCAGGTGAATAAAGGCACTGACGGGAGACTGGCGTGTGGCTGTACTACCAATGGTCAGCGAGTGCTACTAGATATAGCTGTAAAAATCAATAGAAGAATGAGAGCTGTTTCAAAGAACATTGAAAAGAACAACAATAACGGAGAAGCGTTCTGTGTGCAAAAGCACTTGGAATCAAACAAAAGAATACTCGCCATGAGTGCGTTCAACCTAGCCATCATACATTATACATCAGCCATCACGCGCCGTCAAGGAAACCTTCACCTACGGTCATGCATCGCGATCCACAACAAAAACACCTCAAATATCTCCACACTATATATATGTTCAGTGTTTGTAAGTTTCAAAGTCTTTGTGTGATACAAGTAAAGACAGTGTGTTCTAAGAATGCCATTAGTCCTCACTCATGTCAGTGCCGTACTGTTTGCTCACCTCTGGTTTACATGTTTGTTTAGTGACACACTAGCCTGAAAAACAGTTTGTAATTGAAAACCCTGGTCAGGAGAACACTACGATCACATGATTATTTACGGGTTTTTGAAAACAGTTTTACTTCAGCAACATGTATGTAGTGTTAACTGATACTCCCCAGGAGGAGGAATCAGTGTTACAGTCATAAAGCAGCACACTCCGCAATTGGAGGAATTACGTTATTTTCAAATACGTTATCTCTGTATAAATGCAAGGTTATGAGAGTTAACACAAACGTGGGACAAATGTTCCCATGCTTGTCGTTAAAGGTGACTGACGGGATCGAGTGGTCAGTCTCGCTGATTTGGCTGATGCATATCATCGTATCTCAATTGCGTACATCCAAGCTCTTTGTCACTAAGGTTGGTAGATGAAAGAGACTTTCTGTTTAAGGTTCTATTGCATTGGGAAACGTGTTTCGTATGATCAGGAAAACGTTTTGTCGTTTTTGTTTACATTTGACAGCATAAGGGATCAAAGATGAATATCTAAAAAACACGTTAAAATATCAACAAGGAAAATTTATTTTTACAGAGCCAAATATCCATATTTGGAGAATTGTAGATAATTTCAAATGAAAAATGTCTAAACAAAGTCACCCTTTTACTTACTTAAATGCCCATGGTTGTGTTGTGCCGCCATTACAAGGACAAAGCCCACAAAGTTTCAGCTTCATTTGTTTCGTATTGTCTGAGGAGACGTAGTATTCAATGCAAAGTGAGGCGTTTTGAGAGAAACTAAGAGCGTGTACAAAATGCAAAGGTCAAAGCAAGGTCACAATTAATAATATTGCTACAAAAGGAACATTGGGTCGGGTCCTGCTGTGAGTAAGGGCATTAAATATGTCAATATGGTTGCTGTGAGTAAGGGCATTAAATATGTCAATATGGTTGCTGTTAGTAAGGGCATTAAATATGTCAATATGATTGCTGTGAGTAAAGGCATTAAATATGTCAATATGGTTACTGTGAGTAAGGGCATTAAATATGTCAATATGGTTGCTGTGAGTAAAGGCATTAAATATGTCAATATGGTTGCTGTGAGTAAGGGCATTAAATATGTCAATATGGTTGCTGTGAGTAAGGGCATTAAATATGTCAATATGGTTGCTGTGAGTAAGGGCATTAAATATGTCAATATGGTTGCTGTGAGTAAGGGCATTAAATATGTCAATATGGTTGCTGTGAGTAAGGGCATTAAATATGTCAATATGGTTGCTGTGAGTAAAGGCATTAAATATGTCAATATGGTTACTGTGAGTAAGGGCATTAAATATGTCAATATGGTTGCTGTGAGTAAAGGCATTAAATATGTCAATATGGTTGCTGTGAGTAAGGGCATTAAATATGTCAATATGGTTGCTGTGAGTAAGGGCATTAAATATGTCAATGTGGTTGCTGTGAGTAAGGGCATTAAATATGCCAATATGGTTGCTGTGAGTAAAGGCATTAAATATGTCAATATGGTTGCTGTGAGTAAAGGCATTAAATATGTCAATATGGTTGCTGTGAGTTAGGGCATTAAATATGTCAATATGGTTGCTGTGAGTAAAGGCATTAAATATGTCAATATGGTTGCTGTGAGTAAGGGCATTAAATATGTCAATATGGTTGCTGTGAGTTAGGGCATTAAATATGTCAATATGGTTGCTGTTAGTAAGGGCATTAAATATGTCAATGTGGTTGCTGTGAGTAAGGGCATTAAATATGCCAATATGGTTGCTGTGAGTAAGGGCATTAAATATGTCAATATGGTTGCTGTTAGTAAGGGCATTAAATATGTCAATATGGTTCCTGTGAGTAAAGGCATTAAATATGTCAATATGGTTGCTGTGAGTAAGGGCATTAAATATGTCAATATGGTTGCTGTGAGTAAAGGCATTAAATATGTCAATATGGTTGCTGTGAGTAAAGGCATTAAATATGTCAATATGGTTGCTGTGAGTTAGGGCATTAAATATGTCAATATGGTTGCTGTGAGTAAAGGCATTAAATATGTCAATATGGTTGCTGTGAGTAAAGGCATTAAATATGTCAATATGGTTGCTGTGAGTTAGGGCATTAAATATGTCAATATGGTTGCTGTTAGTAAGGGCATTAAATATGTCAATATGGTTGCTGTGAGTAAAGGCATTAAATATGTCAATATGGTTGCTGTGAGTAAAGGCATTAAATATGTCAATATGGTTGCTGTGAGTAAGGGCATTAAATATGTCAATATGGTTGCTGTGAGTAAAGGCATTAAATATGTCAATATGGTTGCTGTGAGTAAAGGCATTAAATATGTCAATATGGTTGCTGTGAGTAAGGGCATTAAATATGTCAATATGGTTGCTGTGAGTTAGGGCATTAAATATGTCAATATGGTTGCTGTTAGTAAGGGCATTAAATATGTCAATATGGTTGCTGTGAGTAAAGGCATTAAATATGTCAATATGGTTGCTGTGAGTAAAGGCATTAAATATGTCAATATGGTTGCTGTGAGTAAGGGCATTAAATATGTCAATATGGTTGCTGTGAGTAAAGGCATTAAATATGTCAATATGGTTGCTGTGAGTAAAGGCATTAAATATGTCAATATGGTTGCTGTGAGTAAGGGCATTAAATATGTCAATATGGTTGCTGTGAGTAAGGGCATTAAATATGTCAATATGGTTGCTGTGAGTAAAGGCATTAAATATGTCAATATGGTTGCTGTGAGTAAAGGCATTAAATATGTCAATATGGTTGCTGTGAGTAAAGGCATTAAATATGTCAATATGGTTGCTGTGAGTAAAGGCATTAAATATGTCAATATGGTTGCTGTGAGTAAGGGCATTAAATATGTCAATATGGTTGCTGTGAGTTAGGGCATTAAATATGTCAATATGGTTGCTGTTAGTAAGGGCATTAAATATGTCAATATGGTTGCTGTGAGTAAAGGCATTAAATATGTCAATATGGTTGCTGTGAGTAAAGGCATTAAATATGTCAATATGGTTGCTGTGAGTAAGGGCATTAAATATGTCAATATGGTTGCTGTGAGTAAAGGCATTAAATATGTCAATATGGTTGCTGTGAGTAAAGGCATTAAATATGTCAATATGGTTGCTGTGAGTAAGGGCATTAAATATGTCAATATGGTTGCTGTGAGTAAAGGCATTAAATATGTCAATATGGTTGCTGTGAGTAAGGGCATTAAATATGTCAATATGGTTGCTGTGAGTTAGGGCATTAAATATGTCAATATGGTTGCTGTTAGTAAGGGCATTAAATATGTCAATATGGTTGCTGTGAGTAAAGGCATTAAATATGTCAATATGGTTGCTGTGAGTAAAGGCATTAAATATGTCAATATGGTTGCTGTGAGTAAGGGCATTAAATATGTCAATATGGTTGCTGTGAGTAAAGGCATTAAATATGTCAATATGGTTGCTGTGAGTAAAGGCATTAAATATGTCAATATGGTTGCTGTGAGTAAGGGCATTAAATATGTCAATGTGGTTGCTGTGAGTAAGGGCATTAAATATGTCAATATGGTTGCTGTGAGTAAAGGCATTAAATATGTCAATATGGTTGCTGTGAGTAAAGGCATTAAATATGTCAATATGGTTGCTGTGAGTAAGGGCATTAAATATGTCAATATGGTTGCTGTGAGTAAAGGCATTAAATATGTCAATATGGTTGCTGTGAGTAAGGGCATTAAATATGTCAATATGGTTGCTGTGAGTTAGGGCATTAAATATGTCAATATGGTTGCTGTTAGTAAGGGCATTAAATATGTCAATATGGTTGCTGTGAGTAAAGGCATTAAATATGTCAATATGGTTGCTGTGAGTAAAGGCATTAAATATGTCAATATGGTTGCTGTGAGTAAAGGCATTAAATATGTCAATATGGTTGCTGTGAGTAAAGGCATTAAATATGTCAATATGGTTGCTGTGAGTAAGGGCATTAAATATGTCAATATGGTTGCTGTGAGTAAAGGCATTAAATATGTCAACATGGTTGCTGTGAGTAAAGGCATTAAATATGTCAATATGGTTGCTGTGAGTAAGGGCATTAAATATGTCAATATGGTTGCTGTGAGTAAGGGCATTAAATATGTCAATATGGTTGCTGTGAGTAAAGGCATTAAATATGTCAATATGGTTGCTGTGAGTAAAGGCATTAAATATGTCAATATGGTTGCTGTGAGTAAAGGCATTAAATATGTCAATATGGTTGCTGTGAGTAAAGGCATTAAATATGTCAATATGGTTGCTGTGAGTAAGGGCATTAAATATGTCAATATGGTTGCTGTGAGTTAGGGCATTAAATATGTCAATATGGTTGCTGTTAGTAAGGGCATTAAATATGTCAATATGGTTGCTGTGAGTAAAGGCATTAAATATGTCAATATGGTTGCTGTGAGTAAAGGCATTGAATATGTCAATATGGTTGCTGTGAGTAAAGGCATTAAATATGTCAATATGGTTGCTGTGAGTAAAGGCATTAAATATGTCAATATGGTTGCTGTGAGTAAGGGCATTAAATATGTCAATATGGTTGCTGTGAGTAAGGGCATTAAATATGTCAATATGGTTGCTGTGAGTAAAGGCATTAA